TTTTTCATTTCAGCTGAGGAAAGCGAACATCACTCAGTTTCCTCGACCGCGCCCCGACGAAAACAGTAATTTCACTCAGACGCTCCAAAGAGGACCATACAATACCTACTGCTAGCGCTTTTTCCGACGGCCGTCTCCACAATTATCGATTTGAATATAGTCACCATCTTTCAAGCCGTGTGCTACCGATGTCACATTCGTACCAAATGTTATAATGGAACCCGAAAGCTGAAAATAGAAAAGCATATCACCGCAACTTATACCTGCCATACCACCAAAAAGAATTTCCCAAAATTTTCCCAAAATTTTCATATTGTTTGATATGCAAAATTTGCATTGAAAATGTGTGTTATTTTCGAAGAATAGCAAGATTCGATTTGAAACTATATCGCATAAACGGTGTGAACATGTGATAAAAGTAACCTTTCGAGACTATGATCGCGGCAAGTTGCTCACTAACATTAATTCCAGAATAGTACAGCACTGTACATCCCCAGGCTGTGACACGTTTCTCACTGGGGGACTAGTAGCAGTAGCTCGACGGGACGTGTGCCCTTAGAAATGAACAACTACGGACAGAGTAAATGAGTAAGAACACATATTGTGAAATATATAGGAGCTCAGGAGTTTCCCAAGCTATTTATACGGGTTTATATACGAATCTGGGTTCATTCGCAGACCAACAGTAATTTTCCACACTTTTCATATTGTCATCACCAACACATGTTGTTGACCATATATATACACCCCCCCTATATATACAACCCAACATCGATAAGTTTAGAAATTGTCCTCCAATACACATCGATAATAATCAAGTAATACGCGCATATCATCACCTCATAGATTAGCGTTTCTGTCAGAATCGGGGGGGGGGGGGCAAAAAACCATCACAACAATGAACAACTTCACCTCACGACACAAATGCACGCATGCACAAAATCTACACCGTGCGTAATGTAAACAAATGCGAGATTACCATCATCCTCCAATTGCTCAATGATATTACTCATAACAGTGAGACGAAATAAAGACGTAATTGCGTACGCCGTTTACTATTGTTTTTTATATCACAAATGAAACTCGAATATACCCCCTCGAAGGCCTTTCCTACCCGTTCCCAGGTATAGATATTCATGATATCAATATACGCTAACAAATAATAATGGAGTTCCACCCGTGATGTGAAAAACACATTTCACTTCGCGAAAAACGCATTTGAGCAGCGAATATCGCGTATAAAAAATGATGGGTTTCACGTGAAATTAAAGGTGATTCGTCCGGACGTGTAATTCGCCAAGTATTATCAATTCACCTCATATTAAGTCCCTCACATGAATATTACGCCACTTCACGTGAAACGGATGAAACTCCAATGATCATGTTGATATAAATATGGATTCACCTGTATGTATCATCAAACTATAACTATGTATAGACACGCGATATTAATTTTTTTTCTCAAGCAGCACTCCTATAACCAGACAGATAGTAGCCAGTATAAGGATATAACTGCGAACTCAACAGCAGCCACGGAAGCCAAGCCCTGGCATATGCAGTAAAACAAATTTACATGTAAAGGCTCGGCGCCCGAATTTTATTAGTATCGTATGTTATTGATTTTTGTTAATTAGTAGTTTTACGGGAAGTAGCGTGAAAAACTCGGTGGGGAACTCCTGCTATGCAGTCGTGCTGCAACGGCAATGGTGGCAAAGCCCCAATTGGGAGATTCCGCTATCGCATGCAGAGACTCTCGAGGATTCAGCATAACCACATCCGCGACAAACCGAGCCGGATCGTGGACCAGCGAAGCATTCTCATATGACCTACAACGGTGAACTCGAAAAAACTCTCGAGAGCTAAGCCTACTTATGGGCCCCACCAGTCATCTCTATATAAGAATCAGTAGTAGCAAAGCTCCTATCAACACTGCATGTCACCAAGACACTACCTCGAAAGCTCGACCCACTTCTTCTCCATCTCCTCGTCCTCCTCCCCTCTCCTGTGGTCCCGAGTGGTCATCTCAGGATCCGAATGGGAGTCTTCCATATCTGTCACTAAATCTCCCAAAAGTCAACAAAAATTCGACTAATTTCACCGAAAACAGCGGCTGCTGGAGTGGGCATAATAAGCGTCGGCACAT